TGGCAACAGAATATCTGAGACAGAATGTAGAATTGGGACTCTTTAACATTTTCAATATGATTTTTAACATCTTTGGCTGGCAAAGGGTGCAGAGAAGCTTCAAAAGCATGCATAATGTATTTTATACTTTGGAGTTTGCTCAATTAGGGCATCACTGCTTGTGGATTTTGGATGCTGTTGTATGTTACACCTCTATAAGTTTGTGTATAAGGAAGACTTTAGCATCATGCAACCTGTTTTCATATGCAAGAATTGCAGTGCCATCTATTGGTTAGGAAAAGACAGGCAAACAATATCTGTCTCACACACACCAAATATCTGTTGCATCAATTAGTTTTATCCTTTCCTAGTCTATAATCCTATTGATTCCTATGCCAGTGTGAAACAAAATAATGCTCCCTGTGCTTCTGTCCCCTGAATTTCTTAAGCTGGACACAGCTTATCTGCAAATTGCTGAGTTACAGGTTCATTTGGAGACATCATCTTAAATGCTACCCATGGACAGGGCTGCTCTGGGAAAAGTCTGCTTGGCTGATCACAGCTGTTCCTTATCAGCACAGCACAGAGAGGCATCACCTTTAAATGACCTTGTGAAAGATATCAGAAGAACCTGACTTTTGAACTTTGGGTACAAACATTTCAGATAAGACAAATGCACTAGTCTGAACTGGCTCCTGATGGAACACGGTTAAGTTAAAGCAGCAGAAATTAATGACGTGTTGTGCAAGGGATACTGAAAATATATGTGCAGAGTTAAGAAAACTACCAACCTTCTCAGCTCATTTTTATTTCTTTCAGACTTATCACTTCTAGAAATGTGAAGAATTTGAAGTTATCTTCCCTGCCTTGGCTCCTTCCTCCTTGAAAAGAGCATTGCAAAAAAAAAAAAAAATTACCTTACAGATATAAATGAATTTAACAGTCATTTCCTTGCACCAGGAAGCCTCTGTAATGGTCACAAAGAAATCCTGCACATGTCTAATCAGAAGTCCCATTAATGTCAATGGCTTTTAGGCTTTTACTGTGCTTGCCAGGAGATACAGGTTTTCCTTGATTGATCTGACCATCTTGGTTCTGAGGGAAGAAGTGACAACTGTGTAGCCATTTATATACAGTATTGTCACACTGCAATTCCCAGCATTCATTATCATTGGCTCCCTGCCTAGGACTGCTAGGAGTTGCAGTCCCAAACATCTGCAGGGTTGCAGGGTTTCTACCCCTGTCTTAGTAGGTAGACCTATCACATCATCCATGCCTTTCCTCTCATGGTCAAACTTAGCAGGGAACTATGTTTCCTCCATATAATCTCCATATTACCAGACAAAAGAATAGATCATGCCTAGGAGAAAGGGGAAAGCAGTTGTGTCCATGGGTAACAATCTGGGCTCTTTTAATAAAAGCATTTGCTTGGAATTTTATTGATTCCAAATATGTGGAAATAGATCAATTGATTTTAGTAGAACATTTCAGTTTAAAAATGACCTTCGTTCAAACCCTGAATTGAATTCATAAATTGATCTGGCAAATATCCAAGAACTGGTTTTAAAAGGAAATTTTTTGTATGACAAGCTATTTACTAGTTGCTTAATTTTGTACAAGTAGTCATCTTCAAAATTTGTAACTATTACAATTTTATTTGCTTTTCCAATGGGATTCAACAGAATATTGATGTTTTTATTTAACTGTTTCTAAACATTTTTATTATTCGCTTTTAATTCATGTACCTTGTTTTAATTCATGTTGTGAACTGTCTCAGGTCCCATTCGGGGAATGATGGGATATAAATAAAATTAAGAATTATCATCCTCAGCATGATTTTGGGTTATTTCAGTTCTGAAAGACCCCAATTAAAATGGAAGAGACTGTTGTCCTGTTGAAAATCAGATCACAGGCAAACTTCTCAAGTGGTTCACCACCAGTTCAAAAAGCATACCCCCAAAAAAGCAGTATGCCTTACAGGAGGATCACAGACAGCAGTATGTTTGCAGTATGTGAAATAAATGAAAAATTAATCTCTAAAAATTTTCTTTGTGCTGAAATCTGCTATCTGGATTCTGTGTATGAAGGCAACCGTGTTGGAGGGCTTGACTATTGACTATGAATCTGGTGGTGTATTCAGGGTGGAAACTGGAGGCATGTAAGTATGTGTAGGGATCAGTGGTTTAGTAATATATTGTGGTGCTTAGATGTCCATTTTGTAGCTGTACTGTGGTGTACTGAGGTTGATGGTGAGGTGGAAGCTGTTGCTGTTGTTGAAACTCTGGTGGAATGTCTTGCGTGAGTCTTCTCCATGAGTCCAAATTATAGAGATATCAATGTTTCTCAGGTGCATTGCAGTTTCTGGGTGCAGGAATTAAGGAAGCCTGAACATGCCACTAGATCCACAGTCTACAGCCAAGCCCTCTGATACAATTGCATCTGCTCAGACCCACATTGGGATGCCAAACTGAGAGAATTACAACAAGCATTCTTCAAACTACAGTACCCAGCACATGAAGTAAAAAAAACAACCCCAAATAAGGCAAGACTTGTATCCAGGACTGATCTATTACAGAACAGATTGAACAGAGAAAATGACAGAACCCCACTAGTGGTCACATACAGCTCCCAATTGAGACCACTCAGGCGCATCATCAATGAACTACAACCCATTCTGGACAATAATGCTGACCTTTCAAGGACTCTTGGTAGCAGCCCTATACTCGCCTACAGATAGCCTCCAAACCTCAAACAGGTACTTACTTACAGGACGACACACAACACAGATGGGGACACAGGTACTAAGCCTTGCCACAAACCAAGATGCCAACTCTGCCCACACATTTATTCAGGAAATGTCATCCCAAGACCTAATATTATCACCCACAATATTAGAGGAATTTTCACGTACATCCTCCAATGTGATTTATGCCATACTATGGAGTTTATCACACGGGGGAAATCCCATGCGGAAACGGGGCTTTAAATTGGGAAAAAAATGCAAAAGCGGTTAGATTTTCAGATGACGTCGTTGTTAAAATGGAGTTAAAATGAGGTTAACCCAAACGGAAACTCGTCAAAAACTGTTTCTTTTTACTTTCGGAAAATCCCGAAAGTAAAAAGAAGCAGTTTCTGACTACTTTCCATTCGGGTTAACCCCATTTTAACAGCGATGTGTGTGAAAATCTGCCCGCTTTTGCAGGTTTCCCCCACCTTTTAAATCCCGTTTCTGCACAGGATTTCCCCCATGTAATAAACTCCTATGTCAGCAATGCCCCTCA